GCAAATTTTCACAGAAACAAACAGACCTCGCATTATGAACAGTCCTAGATGTGAATCAGTGGCGCAAGTAGCCCACGTGTCTGCCGGATGCGGTCACTGCTGTGTGATTGCCTTGCAGTGCGACAGTGCACAGTAAATATTACCGTGCTCAGTCAGAGCCTGGGATGCTCGGAAGCCAGAGGAAAAGCGGTGGGAACGTGGAGGGGACAGCTAGGATGGGCAAAGCAATATATGGTGTTTATTTGTGTCAAAGGGGTGCAAAACTCACATGGTCAGACTTAGGAATGAACTGGACTATTGAAAACATGACAACAGATGTAATCATTAAAGTGTTGCATAAGCAGCAATTATTTGTCATGGAGTGGATAAAAACAAATATTTTGAAATTCTCTACAAAAGTGCATATTTCAAATATTCTCAGTTTTACTATAGCTATGATTTAATTGAGCCACTTCCAGTAATTTGTATACTATTTAATAATTCAACAAATATGTTTCTCATAAACTCACTTTTCAATGAGTAACTTTTGGTTGTAAGAGAGTCCTCAATTTTAGATGACTTAAAAAAAAATAAAAATTTATTTTTTCCCAAGACTGAAAAATCAGGGCTAAGACGTTTTGCTGTCTGTTCATCTTGAGAACGAACAGAGATAAGCTGAAGTTCTGACATCATGTTATTTTTCTAGTACAGGTTGCAAAACTCCTATAGTTTTGATTACGAATATACTACGAATACAGATCAATTTGGGAAGAACTGACATCTTTAATACACTGATTCACCTAACATGAAAATATTTTATTCATTGTGATCTTGCTCTATTAGCAGTATTTACTAGTTTGGGGTTTAAAGCAATTGATATGTTTACTAACACAATCTGAAATCTGCAGCATACAAGAGTAATGAACAGAGTGTGCTGCTCAAATCTCTCCCCACAAACTACTAGGAAAGGCACAGCTGATTACATGTTCCAGCAACTGTTCCTCTGGTACCACTGTTATGCTTGCAAAGTTTTTCCCAGCCAATGACTGAGCATATCAAAGACAACAGTGTTGCCTCATTTCTGCCTGATACAAGATTCCTCTAATATACAAATTTGTGCAGGGACACACAACTGGCCACAGGGAGTGTGGTGTTGCCATCTGAGGCCTTTCCTGACCAATCCTTTTCTCTCTCAAGTGTCAGATTCCTATGAGAGTCTGAAGGATTTCCCTGTCCATTTCTGTCCTTTTCCTTTTTATTTATTTTTTAATTTTGTTTTGGTTTTTTGACACAGGGTCTCACTATGTAGTTGAGACTGACCTAGAAATCACTATGTATCCCAGGTTGGTCTCAAACTCACAGCAATTCTCCTGCCTCAGCCTCCTGAGTGCTGGGATTACAGGCATGCACCACCACACCCAGCTTGTCCTTTTCCTTTTGTTTCTCAAAGGAACTTTAAAATATACTTCCGTAAAATATGCTTTTTGTACATCTAATCTTGTGTGTCTGCCTCTCAAACATTAACAGTGTCTTTTATACTATCAGAAGGGGTAGATTTTGTTTAATTTTTCTAGTTGATCTCCTCTGGATATCCAAAATGTGAATAAATGGACAAAATGTACGGACAACTGTAAGACCACTGTCCTGTTGGCAATTGTGTGGAAGAGAGTAGATCTTCCATCTGAAGCATGTGAAGAACAGCAACAGGACAAAAAGATACTTCCTAGAAAATTTGGAGCGTAAATTTAAGAAGACAAACTAAAGACTAAAGGAGTTTTCCATATTTCAGTAATGTATGAGTACAAGCACTCTCTAGAAAGGGTGTGAAGTATACCAGGACTTTGAACCCAAAAAGCTTCCCTCCAAATCCAGGAACAAAGCTGAGGAGAAGCTGCTGAAGGGAAAATCCAAACAGCCTCACTCAGAAACGGAAAAACAAGAGTGGAGGGGAGAAATCCACATGCAACGAAGACAGTATGGACCACAACTGGAGATCTGAAAAGTACACCAGGATATTTTTGGACACTACACAAAAGCAACAGAAGAGACAATTTGGGATCTGAAGGAAAAAAGAAAATTTAAAGTTCAGAAAAACTAACTTTTCATTTAAAAAAGGCAATAAAAACCACGTCCACGAATATAACACAGAATTGTGACAAAGAAAAAAGAGGAAAAGAAGAATAATGACAATGCTCTAAACAATACAACAAGCCAGAGAATAAAGCTAACCTAATAAAACTATTACCTATTATTTCAAAATGAACTAAAAGATAGTAAGGAAATTACATGAGACTCACTAGACAAATGTAGAAATAATTATTGGCTTCAGAAAAAGAATCTGTGTTTCAAACTCATTTTAGATAGGAAGACTAATTAGAAGGAGTGTAATTACAAATAAACATGACAAAATGCTCTAGCAAAAAAAGAAAATTAAAATAATTTTTTAAAATTACAATGAGATAAAATAATTATACAAGGAACTAAGAGCTAGCTCTGATAAATCAATCAAGTAATTGTTCAACACAATATTGAACCCATGTATCTTCAGTATAAAAACAAAAAGTATCTGTACCAAATTTGGGACTTTATTAAGTATATTATTGATAGTAGCATGCATATAATAATTCTGAAAGCATTTTGTGTATATTTTAGGAGTAAGCTAATATGTAATAATGCTAATTAAGTTTCTCATGGTAATGGGAAGTACAATGCTGAATGTAAACCCTGAAGAGCCCTCTGTGTTGGACTAGCATTTGAGATGGCAAAATGAAAGCAAAATGGAAAGAAGACTCCATAAGATACTCTGTCTGACAAAATCACATCAAAACCATTATAGCCCAGTAGCAATAAACACATTTAGCTCCCGTATCTTAGTTTCCAAAGTCTATTACTGATTACAGGACTGTGAAAAGTAAAAGCACAGAATTAGGAGCATATGAAACCTGACATTTACAGAGTTAACGTACATAGTTTAGTCTCTTTCTAACTGACAAGTGACCAACATAAATAACAGACATGCAATGGGTATCTTAACTTCTCCAACAAGTTAAATTCTTAGTGCTTTATCTGTAAAACAGAAAACATGAGGCAAATTCAAAATCTCTGTGAATTAAGATATAAAGTGGATTGACATGGTTCTTTACATAAATTGTACATTCAATAAATATTTCCTATTCTGGGCCAGGGATTTAGCTCAGCGGTTCGGTGGCCTGCCTTGCAAGCACAAGGACCCGAGTTCAATCCCTGGTACAAAAAAAAAAAAAAAAAAAAAAAAAAATTCCTATTCTCTTTTCCATTTTTAACCTTTTTTTTTTGTACAATACATCAACCCAACCAATAATCTTCTCTATGACCTTAATATGGCTATCAATTAGGTTTGGGAGCCTGCCAATTTGATTACAATATTTCATTCCAAGAATAAACATGCACTTTGCTTATATCAATGATCTATATTAGATACGCCCACACTAAATCATAATTCTAAATTTATGCTGTATGATATTTCTATGAATAAATGATATTTCAAATCAGTTTAAGCAAAAAATTTTGAGAAAGATGCAAAATATTTAATAACTGGGAGATACTTCTCCTGGCTAGAAACAGACATAAGAAGACCAATCACTTGGAAATGCTAGATGTGGCAATCCACAGACACTCTCTAGGATAGCTTTTTGTTTCCTATTTCTTACTTTCACTTTCCCATAGAAGAATCTAGAAACACTTTTTTGATTCCAGGTCCCACATCTTTAATTACCGATGTATTCGTCAGTTCAGCAAAAATGTTTTGCGCACTAAACATGTGCCAAGCACTCTTCTATTACACGCCAGAAATGCAAAATGGAAAAGAATAAGAGATGTAGCCCTGGCATCACAGGGCTCACAGTGCATCTGATTACACAGCCAAGAATAATAGCAGACTGCGTGACAACTAAAGTGTGTGATGCACACATGTGTCCTGGGCAAACTGAGTTCCACTTACCACTTAGCACACACAGGCTAGTAGTAAAGGAGAACCTTCTCTGCCTCACCACAGAAGGCTGAAACTCTTTTCGGTGAAATTCTCTAATTTTACCTTCTCAGGAAATGTCTGCCTTACTCTATATCTATTTTTAAATTATTACTATTATTATCATCATTATTAGTATTATTTTAAAAACAGAGTTTGCTAAGTAACTCAGGCTGACCTTGAAGTCACTGCATAGCCCAAGTTTGCCTTGAACTACCTTGGTCTTCCTGTGCCTGAGTGCCGGGACTGCAGTCATGTGCCACTGTTCAAACTTACCTATATGTCAGAGCCAAATTTCATTTCTGTCCTCTGAACTTTATTAGCTATCAAACCATAATAAGCTATATATGTTCATTTATTTTTCATAAGTTTGATATTTGACATGACTACTTAAATCTACATTGATGATATACATCCTTATCTCCCCAAGAATATTGAAAGAATCTAAAAAGAAAACATTTTCTTTATTTGCAAAGAATAGCAACTGCAAAGGAACACAAGAAAAAGAGAAGGACAACTAGTTAAGGGATAACAGAAATGGATGTGGTAGATATTTTAGTAAAACTGTCCTCAGATACCAACAAAATATAAACTCCTTGTATATATTTTTTCATGATTTATACTTCTATGGTATCTCATTACATAGTCCATGAATTTTTTTCTACTACACAAGTTACTGAGAGAATTTCAATGTGTGTTACTGATTTAGAGCTTTATATTTGATTTTTTAAATGTAAGAATTATTCAAACAATTAACAAAGGTTTATTAGTTTAGTCAATTTAAAATAAAAATACAGCATCAAATTTTGATTATGCTAAATATTGCAGGTACATATGTGTGTGTGTGTGTGTGTGTGTGTGTGTAGTTTCTGTGATATTTTCCTTAAAATTAAATTAAATAGCTTATAAAATATTTTGAAGATAGAGAATACAAAAAAGGGAAATTATTGGAGAACTATTATTTCATAATTGATTTTCTTGTTTCATTTTCTAAGTAGTAATGAAATAAACATACCTGAAATGTTTTCTAACTAAGACACCGCATATCCATCTCTGAATGATCAAAACTGGTGAGTTATGGGCCAGAATTACATTAATTCTTGAAATAATATATTTATTATTAATTTCATCCTCATAGGTTTTTCCCTGTATAAAGAAAATATATTCAATAACATTTATCTTTCATGAAAATATTTCTAAAGTGTATTATAAACCTGGTAATGTAATGATATAAAGAAATTAGTAAAATATTCTTAGCCATCTTATAGGCATAATAGTTAAGTAATTAGTACATTTCATAGTAATTTTATTAAAGTAATTTTATCAAGAATCAGTAGCATCAAGTAATTTCAATTTTCTACAGAAAATGCAAGATTACTGATAATAGTCTGCATTCAAGATTCTTATGCAAACTTGCTAACATATATGTAACATGCTGACCATACTCATTCTGGCAAGAACTGGTGGCCAATGAAACTAACAGTGAGCTGTGGATCACCATAAAACTGACATGTGTTGAATTCATAAAGTAAGTTACAGTAGTTAAAAATGGTGTAGCTAACTAAGATGTTAGGTGCTTTTATTAGACCGTATGCATTCCCTTGGGAAATCAATTACCTTTAAGAACAATCTCCTTTCTTTCAAATCTTTAGATTTGAGACCATAAACTCATTATACCTCATCGATCACTTACTCAAGTGATCAATTATTATAATTTCTGTTATTAGAAATAAGGTCAGTGTTGTGTTTTCAGTGTAGGATAATACGTATAAACATGATATTTACTTTATTTTAAAGCACCTAACTGAAGATTACTATCCTTGTAATGTTCAAAACAGACATCTCTCCCTCCTGTACATATGATTAGCTTATACACTGCTGGGAACGAATCACAAAGCATTGTAAAGAAGTGCTGCTTCAGATTTATATTTTCAAACATGATCTCAAGATTAATTTCTATTTGTTTACTGCCTCAAAACAATAATATGTACTAGAGCTGGAGCTGATATTCTGATCACATGGCAGGCTTGCTTAATGTATTTATTTGATGGCACCAGACGATCACTTACAAATGTCTTGACTTGGCACAGAACGTTGTTGATAATTTCCTTCTTTTCTACTTATTCAGATCTCCCTTCGTCACCCCACACAGTACCCTCCACTCTGGCAATATGCAACCTCTGAAACTCTTGCGAAGTGCCTGTCACTCACACCTCAATGCCCTCTACACACGCCAGTCCACTTTTTTCAGTGCCCTCTCAATAGTCTTTTGGAAACCCTATTCACTCCTCCAAAAAATAGTTTTCTGACCTTGATCGGAGAACAATATTATCCTGTGCAATATTAACTCACTCGTCAGAGCTGACAGTGTTATATTTACCTGCGCCCTGGAATCCTGGAAAGAAGTAAAAGTTAAGAAGTTTTCTTGTGTCTTTGTTTTAGGAAATGCCTTACTGTAGAGTTGCCCTCTTCTTCATGATTGATACGCATAAACCCACAATGCCCCTCTTGTTTCCCTATAAGGCCTGACACAGACATACCTACTAAAAATTAGCTGAACTATTTAGGCCCCGCTGTTCTATCAGAACGAAATGCGTTTCAGCCAAACTTTGGTTAAGATGCTCTCCTTCCCTTAGCCTGACCCACCTTCAACCTGAGCCTACAAACAGCCTTTCCTTAGCCCCTCCTGAGAATAGGGAAGTTACTGAATCCAGCATATTCTGATCTACTGTCGGGTCATGACACTTCATTTATCTCACTTTCTTACACCAAGACATTTCTAGTCTTGTTTACTCCTTTCTGAAAAAGAGAAAACCATTTTGCCTAACCTTTCAGACCTCTGCATAGTTTATACTACCAAGTCCACAGCACTGTCTCTATTACAACAGCCCCCTCCCACCCATCTTTGTCAATAGTCCTTTCTCTGACATGAAATAAGCCTTTCAAATGAAGCCATCTACTTTCTAAATCTTGATTTTCTAAATACTCTGTTGTTTCTACCATGATGCAATTATTGACCTATTTTTGCCACATCAGCTCACCAAGTTTAACAACCTGTTATCTCTCTAGGATTAAGTTTCCTGGTTTATAACTGGCATTTGATTATCAGTTGACTATCAAGTCACTCTTCTGATTTTTCTATCTTTTTAATTTTGATATTTAAGTCTTTATTTTTGGTTCTTCTGAAAGGCATACAAATATTTGGGTAATTTATAATTTATGTCATTTATTTATTTATTTTTGAGAGAGGGACTTGCTATCTAGTTCAGATTGCCTCCAATTCACTATGTACCCCAAATTATCCTCAAACTCACAATGTAGCCCAGGCTGCCCTTGAACTCTCAGAGATAAGTTTCCCAAGTGCTGGGATTACAGGTGTGAGCCACGATGCCGAGCTAAATTTTTAATCTCTAGTCTAAATTTTCTTCTTTTATGTATGTACTTACTAAATTAGGTTTTCTTTCTCAAATCTCTATTTGCTAACTTTCCTCAAATGATCACCTTCCTTGTGATATCTTATTGCTTTAGATATGTAGATTATTTATACAGCTCTATTACCTGTCAGGAATCATCTTTTAAATTACAGACTTAGAATGAACTTTTAATTCTATTTCTCTACTTGCATATAAAAACTGAAATAATTATTTCCCCATTCATAACAATGCACTTCATATCATATTACTTATATAGTAATTAAAATGAATGTCATCTTGTCACTCTAGTTAATAAAACCACACTGCTTTTTCTCATTCTTTTCTACCCAAGAAATCATTTAATTCTATCAAATAAATATCTCTTCTTCAATTTGTTACCTATTACTTATATGAGCTCTACCAACATATTAAATCAGCCCCTTTAAGGCTCAAACTTCTAATAGCCTCTTTCAGAAACACTCAGCCTCTGATAAAATGAAAGCTGACCGAGAGGCCTTTAGACTAGGATAGGTCTATGTTCCTATGTGAATAAACCAAAGCCCTTTGTAAACAGTAAATTAAAGAAACTACCAACTAACATCTTACTAGGAACTTTCCTTGGTAATTAATCAAAATTGTTTTCAATGTTTTCTAAGTCTTCTTCCCTGCCCTTGTTTACAAAATTTCTCCTTTTGCCATCTGGGCAAAATGCTAGCTGTTTGTACTCTGGTTCCAGAATATTCACAGAAACTCTTTAAAATTTAAATGTGCTTATGCTTTTCTTTTATCAATTCAATTTCCCTCTGCTCCAAAATAGCAGAATACAGAATAATTTTTGTAGAATAAAAATGGGGCCGTGTAAAAAAAGCTTACATATTTTCACAAGATCTTGCAAGAAAAAGTCCTGTTTCCTTGGTAGTATTACATTTACTATTAAAATCCTGTTTTTGTTCCCAACATCAATTGACACACGCAAACACATTTTCTAAACTCCATGAGCACAAAATCACTTGTCACTTGGATTTGCCAGGCTCTATCTACCCTGTGCCTATGCAAATGTTTTCTGCTCTCCCTCCCTTACTCAACACTGTGGCAAGACCTCTATTTGCTGAGACTCCTTACATTGAAAAACTCATCTGAACTACACAGATTATTCTTTCTTTTCTGTTTCATTTTTGCACTACTACAGAGCTTAACTTTGGAGATTTCTGAAGAAAATACATAGAGTTCTTTTATTACATACAGAAGAGCTAGGTAGAAATATTACAGGCAGTCAGATAGGACTAGGTCCTCCAGAGGGTCAGGACAAAGGTGGAACACACCACAGCTGCACCAGAAACACATCAGCTGAAAATCAGGCCTTGAGATAAAGACAAGATGACCAGGGCCGGGGATTTAACTCAGTGTTTCCGCTGCCTGTGTCACAAGTGCAAGGTCCCGGGTTCAATTGCCAGTACCAACAGAACAATAAAAGAAAAGAAAAAAGACAAGACGACCACACACATACTTTCTTAAAGAACAAACACTGGGCCTAATGAAGACATCAGCCACCCCAGTGGGGTGACCAGACACCACTTCCTAGGAGAATCTTTGTTCTTTCCATCCACGCTTGTTACATGATTTATTTCCCAATTAGACCAATATTACCTAAGGGACTACACTTATAATCTTTTTGGATGTCCATGGCTATGGCCCACATTGTATCCACGTGGGTTTAACCCCAAAAAAACTCCTCTGCAAACTGGGGTTTTCCAGGCTACCCACCCGGGACACCTCCTACACCACAGGAGCTTTCTTATCAATACTTAGCTTTCTACTCTTACTCTCTGTTGTTCCTAGGACTCACTCTTTGATTTCTAGAGAACAAGAACTCAGCATATCATACAGTTAACAGGTTGGGAGACATAATATTTCATATTTTATCTCTGGTATTATTTACTGTAACACTTTCATAGAGTCATCAGATGAATGAAATTTTCACCATTTACTTGATTTTATTTATTCTTTATTTGCTTTAATTTTGTCTACTGTAAATTCAATTCATGTATATTGGATATCCTGACCTGGACTCTATGGCTTATTCTTTTCTCAATATTTTCACCTATTTTCTTCTCAATTTGGGGAAGCCATTCTGTCAAAGGCAAGCTTTCTAAAACTATGTGCTCCAGTTAACTTGTCAACTCCTCTATTTATGTGGCTGAATCTAAATTCTTTCTCTTTTTAATTTCCTAGTTGCCTTGACACAGAGTCCTTCCATATATCTATTTGCTACTTTTTATACCCCAAACTATATTCGGGCCTCTCTATGAAACTTATTCTGTGATCTATATCAATTTATATCAACTACCTCTTGGTCCACCATTACTGTCAACATTGCCAGGATTTTCTCCAGTAGGGAAACATAAACATTCAGACCATAACAAGTCTCATTTTCAATATTTAAAAAAGAAAAAAATCATTACATTGCATCTATTAAACACCTTTAAAATAATCATTTTTGTAAAACACAGATTAATCTCTAATGATTTCTAGTAAAAATATGATTTCCCAAATTTACATGTGTTTTTGTTTACTTCACTGGGGCTCATATTTCAATATGGCTCAGCAATGTTCAATGTTGAGTATACAAAAGTACATATGAAAGAAAGAGGGAAAAATTAGGTAAAAGAATACAGGAAGAAATTTAGGCAACTTAAGACTTAAATTGTCCTCAACAGATTCAATTCTGATGAG